ATGCTTTATTTTTGCTTGACTGTAAACATAACTTTTATGCCAACATCTGACAGGAATTTTTGTGACCCTGTCTCTAAAAAACAAAGTCGTTGGGAGAAAATACGTGCTCTAACTTGTCCTTTAATCGCTTGCGGAAAAAACTCATCCGCGAGTATTTATCAATCGTATTATACATCAAATTCTAATTGTAAAATGTCAGTACGTGGTGTATATGAAATATCATGCATGTTAAATAGTTAACATACATATGCACAGAACGCGTTGGTACCCAAGACAAGTCTGTGGGCAATGCGGCATTTGAAGGTATAATGCGCGTTGCATCACGAGACAGGCATACTAGGTCATTACTTAGAGCAAACGCATTGAAACTGCGTCGCAGTATAAATTCCAAAATGTGTTTTTTAGTGGTGCAATAGCAGGTAGACATTTTATTGGTTGTATAACCACCTTTATTAACCTCCATTTCAACAAAGAACTAAGCAATAAAGAGAATGGTGATATAGCTTCAAAACATAGACTGCAGCGTAGAAAACGAGCTGTTTATATACGGTCCCAGAAGAGTTTTTGAAGGAAAACGAGAGAAGTTGAGATGGACATTTTAGATTATGAAAAGTGCCGCGTACATATAACCAGAAAATTGCAAAATTCTGAAGTAGAACACCGATTAAATTCAGCAGCATTCGAGGTTATTGATAGAGAAAATGACAAACTAGGACGAATATTGATCGTCACAAGGAAAATAGCTTAGATTTAGTGGACAAGCGCTAGAGTTGTCTTACATTAGATCTGTTTAGCTCAATACCTTCCATTTCCACAGCGCTGAGTTTGCGCTGAGGGACACGACGTTCCTCCACAGCTTGGATTTCTCCAAATTCTTGGACTGCGTTTTCGCGTCCCGTACTGACAGGTGGCCGAGCATGAACTCCAAGATCCCCATGAATACCAACAAGAGATCGGACAGCAATTCCCGGGGCAAGATATCGATTGCGAAGTGCTGTAGTAACAAGTGCCACCGCAGGACGCGTAGGTTAATATGCGACGAGTTCTGGTCTTCCTACCAGAGCTACCGCAAGTTGCTGAACATCGTGACCAGCTGCTCCACGAAGACACGACGCAATTTTGACGGTAACATACTCTACGACGTCGGCGCCGTCGTCTCCAGCCGTCGGATAGCTCATTCAGAGCGATGATTTGAATAAAAAGAATGAAAATTATAGTTTGATAGACGCGCATTTTGCGACCTTTTTCTTAAGTCTGAGTTTCGGAAGAAGTAAAGAGTTCCGCTGACGCAGCAGAGTATATTAGGATTTTGGGACATGTCGCAGTGCTCGAAAGCTTTCGTCCAATTGGATAATGCTTTTCTATATATTCTAAAGAACGAAGCTATGCTATTGGTTGAAACAGAAATGTGTTGCAAAGTTCAGCCAATGAAAATCTTTCTTTCGAGGAGCTGGGACGCTACGCAGGATTTTTAGTATGGTTTATCAGTTAATGACGTCATCACACGGGATGATCACGTGACAGAGATGCTAGCCAAATGATCAAGAATTATCCAATCTTATTGATGTCGATTTCTTTCAGGGAATTTCATTGTTGACATTTCATACACCAATGTTGCCAACGGGAAACAGCAATTATAATCCAGGATGTTATGCAGTGATAAATTGACGTGGTTGTTATCTTGGTTCTGAGGACGAACGTTTGTAGGTATAGTACCAACCGTTCATATACAATTATAAGACCTGAGTAGTAAGAGAAGATACTACGAAAATACGGCTTCCAATCCTCCAGCAAGAATCACCCCCACGAGTCGTACCACCCCTCTCTCCCATAGTCAAACAACGTACAGCTGTTCAGCAGCGCAAATCAGCTTGTCCCCGACTTTCATCTTGCCAGATTTTATGTCAGTTTCATTATTTGCCTTTTTCATTTGAATAAATGAATACGGCTAAGGACGAGGCAGTCTCAAGACCACGCACTTCCTACGTTTCCCGAGGAACTACTCCGTGATAAAAATGCTCCGACTCATAAGTGACAATACGTGCTCTATGTTCACGTACGTGCCTTTTCCTACGTGCAATATGAAGAAATATTTCCTCCATCAGCATTTCTTTACTTAAAAAAGCTTATTGCTTTATTTTGTGTTTTTTGTATTCATTTATCATGGTTGTTTCCGAGACATGCCTGAGCGGGGAAACATTGGCCTATCCACCGTGGCCATATCTTCTCTTCTCACAAAAGGGTTAGTGATTACAGAAAAAATATATCGAAGTACTCAGGGGAAACCCCCGAAGCACACAAAAGAATCTCAACTATCTCAACTTACATAAATTGACCGCATCGCTGCTGTCTATAATGCGTACACCAACCGTGACCCCGACCAAATATTTCTTTATGCTTGTTGCCATTTGACTTATTTTGAGGAAGGTTTTCAAAACTTGAAATCCTACCGGAGGAAGGTTGAACACTTTTTGCAACTTTGGTCATCAATTGACTGACCCTTCTTCTAGCTTTCAACTAGAGAAAAAAACTAGAAAACTAGAAAATTCGTCAGTAAAGCTAGATTTACCCCCAAATTTAGTAAACTGACATTTCAAGAAGAGGTAACGTTTTTGCGCGAAATATTGAAATTTGTACAACACAAATGTATTAAAATTAATACAAATTTATCAGCAATTTAGTGACAGCACTACAGTTAGTGACAGCACTACAGTTAGTGACAGCACTACAGTTAATGACAGCACTACGGTTAGTGACAGCACTACAGTTAGTGACAGCACTACAGTTAGTGACAACACTACAGTTAGTGACAGCACTACAGTTAGTGACAGCACTACAGTTAGTGACAGCAGCTGGTGAAAAATGCAGAGAAAACACTAGTTTTGTTTGGGTGATAATATTATATATCGTCAGTGCCAATGATTTGAAAATGATTGATAACAAAACGCCTCTATGTCGATTAAACCATTCCATGTGTCAAAATACCAATTGGCGAAAGACTTGGTAATCTTCTTTAAATTTAAGAAAAAGTCGGCAGGTTTACAGCACTGGTCCGAAGTTGATAGTTATAGTCTGTTTTTTCTGGTCGGATTTGAAAGAACCAATCAGTCGCTTACAACTCCAGGTTAGCCTGGTTAGGTGGGAATATGGTAGAGCTTTGACCAAAAATTCCATTCTGATAAAGGTGGAAAGTACTTGTCATTAGAGTGCTTCGTTTGAGTGGCCCTGGTGAGCTCGTTCATTGCGCAATGGCGCAAACGTTTGAAATCATCCGAGCTGACGTAGTGACGTGTTCGCTGTGACCGCATAGCTGGATCACTGGACTAGCAAATCAAAGATAACGAGTTCGATGCCCATGCCCTCGGCTGCGAAACATTTTCCCCATGTCCTGTTGGTTCTCACCCACTTTCCCCAAATGCAGCATTTTTGCCAGTTTCGTACGATAGACACCCTTCAAAAACGTGTTATCATATAGAGATTCCACAGCTACAGAAGGCTTACGAAAATTATCAATTCGATACCTGTCTTAGTTAAAGCAAGACTAATGCCTGACATATTCCAATCTAATCAACAGCTTTTTCAAAACAAGTCTACCCGATTCTATTCCGGTTCGGTTAAAGCAACTGATCAAATACTCAGTCAGTAGATGAAAGCATGGATAATAAAATCATTTTAACTATCCATGATGAAAGGTAGATTGAACGGCGCAGCGCTTGAAATTTCAGAATTATACATTCGATATCCACTGTTATAAACAACTAAAAGCTCTCAAATCCCTTTACCAAAACCATTATAATGATAACGTTTACCACTGCCAAATTGATTCAAATTTAAATCAATAATCATACGTGAACAACACCCAAAATAAATTTTGCAAACCCAACGGGAAGCTGCATTTTTCCAATACATTTGTGTCAATGTGTCGCCTGTTTTTATGCAGATCGAGAACGTCTACGTACTATGCTATGTATTTTTGTCGGACTTTAAATTCGAAAAAAATATGGCTCGGCGCTCTATCTTTGAATGCAAGATACTGTCCAACTGTCAGTGCACGATTATCGATTCAACTCATCAGAATAGATGAAGAATGTGACCGTATTTGCAAATTCGCCCGGAGGTACTTCAATTTTTGCTTGATGTGTGTTTCTCTGTGGTGTTTGTATAGAGTGCGCCGTGTAAAGGTGTTAAAGGTGTTAAAGTTGTTTTTCTAGAATCCACGTGGCCATGTCATAATTATAATAAATCATAAATCATTCGAGAAAATCTTTCGCTCGGTAGCACTACATATTATACCTTACAAGAAATATTCAGTAAACATAGAATGGAAGACAGATCAATAAGATCTGTTACTCCAGATATATATGGAGGTCAAAGTGCTGAGGATTTATACTGAAACATTATTCTTACTCCAGATATATGGCGTTCACAGTGCTGAGCATTTACCTGAGATATTCTTACTCCAGTTATATTTATAGACTATTTAGAGTTCACAGTACTGAACTTTTATAATTGGACGTTCTTACTTCAGATATATGCATATAGAATAGATTTCACAGAACTGAACTTTTATAATGGAGGCTCTCACTCCACAATTTTATATGGAGTTCACCGTGTTGTAAGATATAGGATTCCGGACCGTGGTCAGGCGTTGTAAAATTTCGCCCGCTGCTACGGCCAATCAGATTACAAGAAAAGCTAAGATTCTGCCCGCTGCGGATTCTTAAAAAAATATATAGCGTTATCTGTTTATCCACATCTATGTCTGCTATAGCTGACGACGCAAAAAAAATGCGGAATATATTCTTTAGGTTACGCCAACCTATGCAATGAATTATAAAGAAGTACGCTTATCTATCTTACGTAATTTCTAATAGCATTACTTTGCATGACGTATAGTTACTGATTGACCAATAGGGCATCGTTGTAGAATTCACGTGACCATATCACAATTATAAATCAATAAACCTTTTTGTTCATTCGAGATTGAGAAAGCCTTTCGCTTGGCAACAGTATATAACTACTGCAAGGAATATTCGGTAAATATAGAATGGAAGACTCGAATGACATACAGGGGCATTTGAGTCAAAATGCTCGTTGCTGGGAGCCAACCGTGAGACTAGAATTCAACCCAAATACAGGAAAGCTGGGCGTATCGACTTCAAAATGCAGAGATTCGAAAGATTTACCGATTTGTATGTTACCATCAGGAAAGCTAGTAAGAGGACTTCAAATGGCTGCTAAAGGGTTTTTTGGTGGTGAGTTTGTCGCAGGGACAGACAGGATGGTGATAACTCCTCGGTCTTCTGATAAGAATGAAGTTTCTGTCACAACCATGCATATCTCTTGCAAATGCGACACGTATAATGATGGTCACAACTATGGCGGAGTCATTGTTTATCAATACAACGGCAAGTCAGAATGGAGAACCGCCAACAACACTCACTGTAAGTCTGGTTATATCGTCATTCAGGATACCGACAGAGAAGACGTTAAGAAATGGAAGAATGAGCCTGGTCAAGTTCATGGAGCTGTTTATAGAAATGCCTTCGGTGAATCTGTAAATGACGCGGAAGTCGTTGGCGAAGGGTTTGCAATACGAAATGAAACATTTGAAATGAATTCGGGCGTTTTCAACAATCCAAAGGACAGTCCATTTCATGATCGTCGTAGAAGAATGCATGAGTTGTCTGAGTATTGCGTCAGAAAAATTGTGGAGTCATGGGCGAATGCTGGTCCTGGCTGGCTTGAGAAAGGAAGAAATTTTGCAGTAGAAGGTATGCTCATGGATTTTGACTTCAGTTCATTCGGATACAAAATGCCATAGAAACCACCGTCATGCACATTAACGTTAAGTCCTTTATTATAATCAGTTCGTAACATGTGACTTTGCAATCGCATCCTTTAATATAAAGTTTTCATTGCAATTGTTTGTATCATTTACGATTTAATAGCTAATGATTGTTTGTAATTATAATGGGTCATATATATCTAAAGTATTCCTTTCATGCACAAATAACATTCAATCTATGCGATAAGGAATAAATAATCTGCGTATAATATATTTGCATTCTGCATGTGGCACAAGATATATTTAGCGAAAAAACACAAAGGCAGATTTTATTCTAACGTATTATTCTAACGAATTTTATGAAAAGACTATTAGTTAACATATCAAACTCTCGCTATACAAATAGTCTATATCGTGTTACATGCGACGATCAAATTGGACAGAAATCGCCGTTTAGAGCGGAAGTTGCGGGTAAACTCCTTGTACTGCTTCCACTATACAATATTTCTTTTCCTTACACTCGTATATGTTTTTTCGCGTATTTTGATAATTGATATATATGAATTTCGTACATATTCAACGTGAATTAGCTTGGGACCGACGACCATGAACTGTAGGTTATTTTGCGACATTGGTCGGCATTTGCATATGTTGTTCACACATTAATTAATGCAGTCTCTGCTGTTGGTGATGTGAACACAATCAGAATGGAGGCCCGACGTTTACTTACGAGATAAGCAAGCAAGAGAATTTTATATTTTCACCTCGTATTCTTTAATATAGTACTGTATACATACCACAGTTGCGTATATTTTGATAAATTTTAAGCCTGATAAATGCTGTCTAAATATTTACTGCAAATAGTATATTATACTGCATAATGCAACTTCATGAAACAGTTAATAAGCTTGTAATCTGGATTGCACTAGTTTGATATACTCTTTGTCTTGGCGAATACCTTTAGCCATGCAGAACTTTTGTTGCAAACCCATGATCCTATCGGCTATCAAAAACTGAAGCAGTTCTCTTTATGACTAATATGACCGCGTAGACATGTTTTTATTTATTTACAGCTCAATTCAAATCACATAAAAGTCGCCGCACGGATAAGCGTGTCGCCAGAGTTAATTTTTTCGGGGCAAAGACCCTGGTCAAGGCTGGTCATTAAGAAAGAGTCGGCAGGTTTACAGCACTGGTCCGAAGTTGATAGTTATAGTCTGTTTTTTCTGGTCGGATTTGAAAGAACCAATCAGTCGCCTACAACTCCAGGTTAGCCTGGTTAGGTGGGAATATGGTAAAGCTTTGAACAAAAATTCCATTCTGATAAAGGTGGCAAGTACTTGTTATTAGAGTGCTTCGTTTGAGTGGTTCTCGTTCATTGCGCCATGGCGCAAACGTTTGAAATCATCCGAGCTGATGTAGTGACGTGTTCGCTCTGATCGGTGTCAGGTTTTTTTGTTGATTGTACATGGGAATTGTCATATTCCAGCCATAAGCCACTATGCGACTAATTTGAATTTCAAAGGTGTCCGTTTTTTTTTACTCACCCTGTAGATATTCCACAGCTACAGAAGCCTTACAAAACTGATTATCAATTCGATACCTGTCTTGGCTATAGCAAGACCAATGCCTGACATATTCCAATCTAATCAACAGCTTTTTCAAAACAAGTCTACCCAATTCTATTCCGGTTCGGTTAAAGCAACTGATCAAATACTTCAGTAGATGAAAGGTAGTTTATATCATTGAACCGCGCAGCGCTTCAAATAATACAGTCGATTTCCACTGTTATAAACAACTAAAAGCTCCCAAATCCCTTTACTAAAACCATTATAATGATAACGTTTACCACTGGCAAATTGATTTAAATTTAAATCGATAATCATACGTGAACAACACCCAAAAATAAACTGAACACAAAACGAAGCGCATCTTTATGCCTTCCTACGCGCTTTTGCAACGACTAAGGTGAACACAAACGTTGAACTTCAACTATTCTTCTCATGACTGTAAACACTACCTCGTTATGTAATATTTCGCTACACTTTAGATACCACTCCGCCACAATGCGTGGCGCGTTGTCGCCGTAATTCAATATAGCGAACAATTTATCAACAAGCAACTTTCTCGCTATCGGCGGTATTATTTTCATTGTTTTTGCGACCCACGACTACAGATATAAACGTCAAGCAATGTTTCAAAAACGCTAACGAGACAGTATCAGAATTCAAACGGACCGGTATAAAGTATAAACGCAGTCAAATTCTGCCGTCACTTTCTCGCTCCGGAGCTGTGTTATTGATTAAGGTATCGTTCTAGAATTTACGTGATCATATGACAATTTTAACACATCATAAACCTTTTTGATCATTCGCGATTTAATCATCGTTCTGTAACACTATAATACAAAGAATATTCAGTGAACTTAGAATGCAAGACTCGCAAGATATTCAGCAAGCCTCGGCTTTTGACAAACATGATGTAGGACGACTAGTATTTGACCCACTAACAGGAAAGCTTCGGGTAGAAGATTCAAGTGCAGATGATAAAAATACAGTGGTGGCAATCAGAATGGCGCCAGAAGGGTTTTTTGGCGGTAGTTTCACCACACCGCTTCAGAAAGACAAAATCGAAATAACTCCTCGGTCTCATGACAAGGAGGAAGTTTCTGTCTCAACCATGCACATCTCCTGTCAATCCGATACGTACAAGCCTGGTCACAACTATGGCGGAGTCATTATTTATCAATACGACGGCAAGTCAGAATGGAGAACCGCCAACAACACTCACTGTAAGTCTGGTTATATCGTCATTCAAGATACTGACAGAGAAGACGTTTGGAAATGGAAGGGCAAAGAGCCAGGTGTAGTTCATGGAGCTGTTTATAGAAATGCCTTCGGTGAGTCGGTGCGAAACACGATCGAAGTCGTTGGCGAAGGTTTTGCAGTTCGACGGGATGGGACGTTTGAAATGTGTTCAAGCGTGTTCAACAATCCAATTGGCAGTGAATATCATGATGATCGTAGAAGGATGCATGAATTATCAGAGCATTGCGTCAGAAAAGTTGTGGAGTATTGGAAGATCGCTGGTCCTTGTTGGGTCAGACAAAGAAATTTTGAAGTAAAACATTTACTTGAGGATTTTGACTTTCCTTGATTCGATGTATTGTGGAAGCCTTTATAGTTAATACCCACTAGCATTGCATTTGCATTAAATGTGGTGTAACAACTGCTTAAAATACTAATAATTCTCGTTGTTTTGACCTGAGGGCCTTTGTCAGAGGTGTTCGTCAGATCAGCGATTAGGTCGAAATGAGGAGATGTGTTTTGTCTATTTTATGCAGTCGTTATTCCACATTTGATGTGAAGTTTGTAGAAGACGCTGCTACGCTTCTACGTGGATATACTGGAATGTAACTACTAGCGTATGCGTATTAAGTTCTTACAATTATTTCGCTCTATATTCGTGCCTTGCGATACGATTTTCAAATCACAATTGTGAGATTCAGACAATTTTTGTAATTTTTATACTTTGATTGCCTTTTTTCCATTCATTGCCTATATTCCTTAAACCGTGTTTTAATATTTTGGTTGTTGGTCGGGTAAACAATTTGCATTCTTGTTTACATTTCGTGAAACTAATGTAATTATGATACATGCAGAGAAAACACTAGTTTTGTTTGTGTGCTATTATATATCGTCAGTGCCAATGATTTGAAAATAATTGATAACAAAACGCCACTATGTCGATTTAACCATTCTATGTGTCAAATTTCAATTGGCGAAAGATCTGGTAATCTTCTTTAAATTTAAGAAAGAGTCTGCAGGTTTACAGCACTGGTCCGAAGTTGATAGTTGCAGTCTGTTTTTTCTTGTCGGATTTGAAATAACCAATCAGTCGCCTACAACTCCAGGTTAGCCTGGTTAGGTGGGAATATGGTAGAGCTTTGAACAAAAATTCCATTCTGATAAAGGTGGCAAGTACTTGTCATTAGAGTGCTTCGTTTGAGTGGTTCTCGTTCATTGCGCAATGGCGCAAACGTTTGAAATCATCCGAGCTGATGTAGTGACGTGTTCGCTCTGATCGGCTCATCGGCCGCATAGCTGGAACACTAGATAAGCAAACCAAGGATAACAAGCTGGGTGCCCTCGGCAGCGGGCATTTTCCCCATGTCCTGTTGGTTCTCATCCACTTTCCCCAACTGCAGCATTTTGCGCCAGTTTCGTACAATAGACACCTTTCAAAAACGTGTTATCATATACAGGGTGAGTAAAAAAAAACGGACACCTTTGAAATTCAAATTAGTCGCATAGCGGCTGTAATGTGACAGAAGTTGCTTAAAATATTTCATAGGTATACGAAGCATATCATATTAATTAACCTAAGACATAAAGTTTGTTCCCGTTGGAAGTTAAAATGCATTCTAAGCTCTGTAAATACAAAAGAACAGTATTATCAAATCGTTTTTGTTGATTGTACATGGGAATTGTCATATTCCAGCCATAAGTTCGCAGCTAATTTGAATTTCAAAGGTGTCCGTTTTTTTTTACTCACCCTGTAGCTATTCCACAGCTGCAGAAGCCTTACAAAACTGATTATCAATTCGATACCTGTCTTGGCTATAGCAAGACCAATGCCTGACATATTCCAATCTAATCAACAGCTTTTTCAAAACAAGCCTACCCAATTCTATTCCGGTTCGGTTAAAGCAACTGATCAAATACTTCAGTAGATGAAAGGTAGTTTATATCATTGAACCGCGCAGCGCTTGAAATAATACAGTCGATTTCCACTGTTATAAACAACTAAAAGCTCCCAAATCCCTTTACTAAAACCATTATAATGATAACGTTTACCACTGCCAAATTGATTTAAATTTAAATCGATAATCATACGTGAACAACACCCAAAAATAAACTGAACACAAAACGAAGCGCATCTTTATGCCTTCCTACGCGCTTTTGCAACGTGAACACAAACGTTGAACTTCAACTATTCTTCTCATGACTGTAAACACTACCTCGTTATGTAATATTTCGCTGCACTTTAGATACCACTCCCCCACAATGCGTGGCGCGTTGTCGCCGTAATTCAATATAGCGTACAATTTATCAGCAAGCACCTTTCTCGCTATCGGCGGTATTATTTTCATTGTTTTTGCGACCCACGACTACAGATATAAACGTCAAGCAATGTTTCAAAAACGCTAAGATAGTATCGGAATTCAAACGGACCGGTATAAAGTATAAACGCAGTCAAATTCTGCCGTCACTTTCTCGCTCCGGAGCTGTGTTATTGATTAAGGTATCGTTCTAGAATTTACGTGATCATATGACAATTTTAACACATCATAAACTTTTTTGATCATTCGCGATTTAATCATCGTTCTGTAACACTATAATACAAAGAATATTCAGTGAACTTAGAATGCAAGACTCGCAAGATATTCAGCAAGCCTCGGCTTTTGACAAACATGATGTAGGACGACTAGTATTTGACAAACAAACAGGAAAGCTTCGGGTAGAAGATTCAAGTGCAAATGATAAAAATACAGTGATGGAAATCAGAATGGCGCCAGAAGGGTTTTTTGGCGGTAGTTTCGCCACACCGCCTCAGAAAGACAAAATCGAAATAACTCCTCGGTCTCATGACAAGGAAGAAGTTTCTGTCTCAACCATGCACATCTCCTGTCAATCCGACATGTATAATCTTGGTCACAACTATGGCGGAGTCATTATTTATCAATACGACGGCAAGTCAGAATGGAGAACCGCCAACAACACTCATTGTAAGTCTGGTTATATCGTCATTCAAGATACTGACAGAGAAGACGTTTGGAAATGGAAGGGCAAAGAGCCAGGTGTAGTTCATGGAGCTGTTTATAGAAATGCCTTCGGTGAGTCCGTGCGAAACACGATCGAAGTCGTTGGCGAAGGTTTTGCAGTTCGACGGGATGGGACGTTTGAAATGTGTTCAAGCGTGTTCAACAATCCAATTGGCAGTGAATATCATGATGATCGTAGAAGGATGCATGAATTATCAGAGCATTGCGTCAGAAAGATTGTGGAGTATTGGAAGATCGCTGGTCCTTGTTGGGTCAGACAAAGAAATTTTGAAGTAAAACATTTACTTGAGGATTTTGACTTTCCTTGATTCGATGTATTGTGGAAACCTTTATAGTTAATACCCACTAGCATTGCATTTGCATTAAATGTGGTGTAACAACTGTTTAAAATATACTATAATAATTCTCGTTGTTTTGACCTGAGGGCCTTTGTCAGAGGTGTTCGTCAGATCAGCGATTAGGTCGAAATGAGGAGATGTGTTTTGTCTATTTTAGGCAGTCGTTATACCACATTTCATGTGAAGTTTGTAGAAGACGCTGCCACGCTTCTACCTAGTTATACTGGAATGTAACTACTAGCGTATGCGTATTATGTTCTTACAATTATTTCGCTCTATATTCGTGTCTTGCGTTACGATTTTCAAATCACAATTGTGAAATTCAGACAATTTTTGTAATTTTTATACTTCGATTGCCTTTTTCCCATTCATTGCCTATATTCCTTAAACCGTGTTTTAATATTTTGGTTGTTGGTCGGGTAAACAATTTGCATTCTTGTTCACATTTCGTGAAACTAATGTAATTATGATACATGCAGAGAAAACACTAGTTTTGTTTGTGTGCTATTATATATCGTCAGTGCCAATGATTTGAAAATAATTGATAACAAAACACCACTATGTAGATTAAACCATTCCATGTGTCAAAATACCATTGGCGCGAAAGATGTGGTAATCTTCTTTAAATTTAAGAAAAAGTCTGCAGGTTTACAGCACTGGTCCGAAGTTGATAGTTATAGTCTGTTTTTTCTGATCGGATTTGAAAGAACCAATCAGTCGCTTACAACTCCAGGTTAGCCTGGTTAGGTGGGAATATGGTAGAGCTTTGAACAAAAATTCCATTCTGATAAAGGTGGAAAGTACTTGTCATTAGAGTGCTTCGTTTGAGTGGCCCTCGTGGGCTCGTTCATTGCACAATGGCGCAAACGTTTGAAATCATCCGAGCTGACGTAGTGACGTGTTCGCTCTGACCGCATAGCTGGATCACTGGACTATTAAACCAAAGATAACGAGCTGGCTGCCCATGCCCTCGGCTGCGAAACATTTACCCCATGTCCTGTTGGTTCTCACCCACTTTCCCCAAATGCAGCATTTTTGCCAGTTTCGTACGATAGACACCTTTCAAAAACGTGTTATCATACAGAGATTCCACAGCTACAGAAGGCTTACGAAAATTATCAATTCGATACCTGTCTTAGTTAAAGCAAGACCAATGACTGACATATTCCAATCTAATCAACAGCTTTTTCAAAACAAGTCTACCCGATTCTATTCCGGTTCGGTTAAAGCAACTGATCAAATACTCAGTCAGTAGATGAAAGCATGGATAATAAAATCATTTTAACTATCCATGATGAAAGGTAGATTGAACGGCGCAGCGCTTGAAATTTCAGAATCATACATTCGATATCCACTGTTATAAACAACTAAAAGCTCCCAAATCCCTTTACCAAAACCATTATAATGATAACGTTTACCACTGCCAAATTGATTTAAATTTAAATCAATAATCATACGTGAACAACACCTAAAATAAACTAAACACAAAGCGCATCTTTACGCCTTCCTACGCGCTTTTGCAACGACTAAGGTGAACACAAACGTTGAACTTCAACTATCCTTCTCATGACTGAAAACCGCTCAATTTTTCATTCTGGAAAAGTGCGACTAGGCAATGTTATTGTGCAACCTACCAGCACGGTTCATATGTTACAATTTCCCTTGCGCTTCTTTTTTTTCATAAATGTTACTGCGAACAAACCACGTTGGACTACAATAGTAACAAAATTGAAAGGCAAAGACGCAAAAATGTAGCATTTTCTTGGAAAAAAGTGAAATTTGAGATACGAACGAGCCATGAACGAGCGAACAATTTCGGAAGACTGGGCTCGAGCAACAGTTTACTCGTTTCCAGGTCTCCATCGCGTGAAAAGATCTCAAATTTTGCAGAATAAAATCAATAAAAATAAAAGTTTATGTCGTAGTTCGCCGGAGTTTATTTGTTTACTTTTTTGGATTTTTTCTTCAAACTTGGAGGAGGCATTGCCGAGAGGTAAAGTTACAAAATAATCATGATTCTTATTAAATCGCAGTCTTTATAAATATAGGCAACACCGATTTGTAATCATCGACTGATCACAGTTAGAGGTGAAATATGAAAACTTCTGTTATTTTACTTTGGTTAGAGTGAGGTCATTTTCATCCTCAAAAACTCTGTAGTTCGCTATGTCTGCGAAGGCTATGTTTTGAGACATAACATTTGTAGTGTCTGTTTAAAGCACCCAATCCCAGGCTTGTTGCTGCAGAAAGTACTGAAGAATCTTTTATTACAAAGATGAAAGCCTAAAGTCAGTGTGGTTAAGTTTACAGAACAAATGAGAAATCCTATAAAGCAGCCATGTCTCATTAGTTTCTGTTTTAAAACTACTTTTAGGCTGGAATTATGCTTTTAGCAAGCTTATCATCTTCAAAATGCTATGCAGGGGTGGTTTCACAAAGGTAATATTAGGAAGTAAATTGACCACTCACTTGTGATATTTTGGTAAATATACTGTTTTAATCAAAACAAAATCTTAAAACCTTGTTCGCACATGTCTTCTCGTTCACACATTGTATTGTGTTTTGACTGATAATTATGAATTCATGTTGTATGAATTAACCCTAACCACACATTCAATAAGTCTAAATTACATTCTGATAACCTGCAAAACAACAATTTCTTTAAAAAGAATATCACCTCATATGTGATTTTGTAGGCTTTTACCAATCCTGTGTTGTCGTCACATTCACTTCAAAAGGGTTCAGTCAAGTGATGGTGACAGTAGGTAAGTACATGTAATCTGTGTTGGTAAATTTAGCCTATTAGTAAAACATGTCTCCAGGATCTTTCAGGAGTAAGGTAAGTAAGTGACAGTAGCGTAGGCAGTCTGACAATTTAGTCTGCAAATTTCAGGTTATGGTAATTATTCATGTCTTGAGAGATTCAATGTTTTGACAGTCAATGGACATCAAATTATTAGCATTGTAGAATTAAATCCTCAGGCTGGCTACGCTACTATAAAGTGAGATACAGTAGATGATATTAAGATATTTTTTGTGAGGGTCACAGTTAACGGAGTTCTAATATGCATGTAAACTACTAATCAATTTTTTACTGGTTGGTTAGAAAATCTTACTCCAGATATATATAGCTATGGAGTTCACAGAGCTGAACATTGATACTAAGAATTATTATTCTAGATAAATATACAGGTGTCCCAATAAAACCTGAATTATGTATTTGCTAAAAATTATATTCACAGTCAGGTTGTTCTTTTTTACAGTAGTTTAAAACTGAACAAAGCTATGCCTCTAGGAGTTTAAAACATATGTATGATTAGCTGAGCTACTTACAGTATGTATGTCAGCATATTTCAGTGCCTCCTTTACAAGAGTAGTGTGAGCAGCCAGTAAAACTTGTGGTTTAATAAACTTTGCACATTTTATTATGATAAAATTTTAGCTTTATTATGAAACAGTTAGACCATTCGCTCTCGCATATCATCACATGTTCGACTGGAACTCGTGGTATAATTGTTAAATATTTTACGTTTTTCTTCGCATGACGTATAGTCCTAAATTGACCAATAAAGTATCGTTTTACAATTCCACGTGATTGTATGACAATTTTAATAAATCATAAACCTTTTTGATCATTCGCGATTTAATCATCGTTCGGTAACACTATATTTATATTACAAAGAATATTCAGCGAACTTAGAATGCAAGACTCGCCTTTTGACAATATAGTCTGTGTTTCCATGGCGCCTTACGGGTTCTTCGGTGGTAGATTCGACGTAGAGAAAGACAAAATCGTAATAACCCCCGATTCGCTTGGAAAGGAAAAGGTTTCTGTCTCAACCATGCACATCTCTTGCAAATCCGACGTGTATAATCTTGGTCACAACTATGGCGGAGTCATTGTTTATCAATACGACGGCAAGGCAATATGGAGAACCGCCAACAACACTCTCTGTCGGTCTGGTTATATCGTCATTCAAGATACTGATGGAGAAGACGTTAAGAAATGGATGGGAATAGAGCCTGGCCAAGTTCACGGAGCTGTGTATAGAAATGCCTTCGGTGAGTCCGTGCGAAACACGGTCGAAGTCGTTGCCGAAGGTTTTGCGATTCGAAGGGATGGAAAATTTGAAATGTCTTCAGGCGTTTTCAACAATCCATCTGGCAGCGCATATCACGATCATCGTAGAACGATGCACGAGTTGTCAGAACATTGCGTCAGAAAGATTGTGGAGTATTGGAAGATAGCTGGGCCTTTCTGGGTCCTACAAAGAAATTTTGAAGTGAAAGAAATGCTCGAGGATTTTGCCTTCAATTTACTTCAATAAAACGCCATTGATACCACTCGTTTTATTTAATTTGCAATAAGATTAACGTATAGCTACGTATAGAAGTGTCAGATGAGTCTTCATTTCACTATAGTAAAGCCAAAGACACTACCAATTTCTATACATAGCTACAATTTTACAATCTTAAAATTGAGATTTTACAAAGAAAAATGTCGCTGTTCAAAGACTGTTGCTATTGCCCCTTGGGCGCATGCATTATTTTCGAACAATATTGATAAAAAAAAGATAGCAATTTACTCATTACTTATTCGCATAATACTTATTGCTTCTTTATGACATTTTCTCAAATCCTGATGCTGAAAGAGCAAAAAAAACCCGTTGTCACCTTATGTAGAGCCTATGTCCTATGGTCAAATGTATTTACTGTAACAAGTGGAGGATTTCAGATACATTCAGGCTTTTTATTCTCATGTGATGTATGCTTGCACCATAGTTTAAGTCAAAGATAACTGCATGCAGTATCACTCATGCGTTTGATCCCCTGTCGAGAAAGTGCATTTGAAAAAAATTCGCATAGCAATCAACAATGATCTAGCAATATATAATTGCATGAAATTTATTATGTCGTCGTTTTCTACCGACGAAAGGTTCTTTTTAGGCTTAATAGTCTACCAGATACTGTAAAATATGCATGTGATCATAATCACAATCTTCGAACAATTTATCTGTTTTGCAAACCCCACGGGGAGCTGCATTTTTGCAATACATTTGTGTCAATGTGTCGCCTGTTTTTATGCAGATCGAGAACGTCCACGGTATATATACTATGTATTTTGCCAGACTTTAAATTCGGAAAATATGGCTCGGCACTCTATCTTAGATCAAGATACAGTCCAATTGTCAGTGCACGATCATTGATTCAACTCATGCAAATTAGCCCGGAGGTACTCAAATTTTTGCTTGATGGTATTGTAAATAATAATTCGTTTCTCTGCACGTGTGTTTCTCTGTTGTGTTTGTACAAAGCGCGCCCTGCATGTAAAGGTGTTAAAAATGGAAAAATGTGGCGCCAAATAAGGAAGAATGATTAGGACATGTGACCGCTGCGCATTTGTAAAAAAATAAATAGCGTAATATACTCAATTTATGAATGCAAGTCAAATGAAAACAAGTCAAAAGCAGAAACTCAATTCATCTTTTCAAATCAGAAAAGGGAAAAAGGTTCCCTAACGAAACGGACGCGTGCTAAATTCAGACAAACATAGATAGCTATCTATGTATATCAATGTTTACTGACGAAGTAGGAAAATGCAGAGTACATTATTTAGGTTACGCCAACCTATGCAATGAATTATAGAAGAAGACATAGATACACTTATCTATTTTACCTATTTCTACAGCATTACCTGGCATGACGTATTCGTTACTGATTGACCAATAAGGCATCGTTGTAGAATTCACGTGACCATATCACAATTATAATAAATCAATAAACCTTTTCGTGCATTCGAGAGAGCCTTTCGCTTGACAACAGTATATAGCTACTGCAAGGAATATTCGGTAAACATAGAATGGAAGACTCGAATGACATCGCATGGCATTTGAGTCAAGTAGATCGTGGCCAGGAACCAACCGAAGCACTAGAATTCGACCCAAATACAGGAAAGCTGAGGGTATCGACTTCAAAATGTAGTGATTCGAAATATTTGCCGCAAAATGCTCGTGCCCTGAAGCCAACCGACGCACTAGAATTCGACCCAATTACAGGACAGCTGAGGAGGGTATCGACTTCAAAATGTAATGATTCGAAATATCAGCCGGTTTATTTCAGAGTAGAGATTCATCGCACTACAGGAAAGCTAATGAGACTGGAAGGTATGCGAATACCTGCTGCAGGGTTTTTTGGTGGTCAGTTTGTCGCAGGGAAAGACAGGATGGTGATAACTCCTCGGTCTTCTGATAAGAATGAAGTTTCTGTCACAACCATGCACCTGTCTTGCAAATCCGACGTGTATAATCGTGGTCACAACTATGGCGGAGTCATTATTTATCAATACGACGGCAAGTCAGAATGGAGAACCGCCAACAACACTCACTGTAAGTCTGGCTATATCGTCATTCAAGATGCTGATAGAGAAGACGTTAAGAAATGGTTCGGTAAAGAGCCTGGTCAAGTTCATGGAGCTGTCTACAGAAATGCCTTCGGTGAATCTGTAAATGACGCAGAAGTCGTTGGCGAAGGGTTTGCAATACGAAATGAAACATTTGAAATGAATTCGGGTGTTTTCAACAATCCAAAGGACAGTCCATTTCATGATCGTCGTAGAAGAATGCATGAGTTGTCTGCGTATTGCGTCACAGAAATTGTGGAGTCATGGACGAATGCTGGTTCTGCCTGGCTTGAGAAAGGAAGAAATTTTGGAGTAGAATATATGCTCAATAATTTTGACTTTCGTTCATTCGGATACAAAATGCCATAGACACCACCGTGACGTCACATTAACGTTAACTCTTTTATTGTAATCAATTTGTAACATGTGAATTTGCAATCGCACCTTTAATATAAAGTTTTCATTGCAATTGTATTATTTACGATTCAGTAATTTTAACAGGTCATATATCTTTGGTTTAAAGTATTTTTTACATGCATGAATAAAAACATTCAATCTATGCAATAAGGAATGAATAATCTGCATGCGTATAATATATTTGCATTCTGCATGTGGCATGATATACATTTAGCGAAAAAACACAGAGGCAGTCAATTTACCTTGTTCATAGAGGAAATTATTCCTCTATATTAAGCAGGATATATATTAACAAAAAATTCTAAAAGGTGTTTTGAGATACATATTCAACTAGTTACTTTAAATGTGTGTATAAAAACAGGAATATTTTTGCAAGAAATACTCGAGGATTTTGACTTTGATTCACTTGAATAAAACGCCATTAGATACCACCACTCGTTTTATTTAATTTGCAGTAAAATTAACGAATACGTATATAAGTCTGAGATGAGTCTTCAATTCACTATAGTGAAGCCACAGACTCTACCAATTTCTTCACTAGCTTAAGGGGCGTTTACACGATTCTCAAAATTTTTGTTGAGATTTTCCTCCTTTGCTAGATGTGAACGAGTGATTAGTTACGAATACTCTGATGTATAAGAGCTCTTATTTGAACAACTACAGTAACTAAATCACTCGTTCACATCTATCAAAAGACGAAAATCGCACAAAAAACTGCAGCAAGAATCGCAAGCGTAAACGAGCCTTTACATACAATTTTACAATCTCAAAATTGAGATTTTACAAAGAAACATGTCGCTGTTCAAAGACTGTTAGTATCGTCACTTGCGTGATGCATTGTTTTCGAACAATACAGTAATGTTTTCTGCTTCTTTATAACATTTTCTTAAATCCTGATGTTGAAAAAGCAAAACACTGGTATCACTTTATGTAAAGCTCATATCTCTA